CAAGTGGTATTAATTTCCCTCTACCTTAATGCCTAATTGTTGCTGACAATGCTTTTATGTTTTCATAAGAGAAAAATATTTGTCCTTTTAAAGGATGTATAGTAGTGTCATTCTAAGAGAGAGAAAGACACAATCTACTATTTTTTTATTTAAAATTTAATTTTCAAAAAAATCACTCACTTTCTCTCCCGTGATTTCCATTACTTGTGTCTTTCTTTCTCTTAAAATAGCATAACTTCATGTCCTTTAAAAGGACAAACACTAAACTCTTTTCATAATCAAATGATTTAACTGTTATTTTTTCAATTCTACTTTTCTCCTGCTATATTAGTTTTTCCAGGTCGTTAATGCATTTTTGTTTAACTTTTTAAGTTTTAAGAAAGAAAGAAATATAACTTCATTTTACACCAAATGTTCTTTTAATGGTACATTATAGCAAGTTTTCGTTATTATTTGTTATTGTGATTTCTTTCTCTTTTTTTGTAAATTGTTATTGTGATTTCAACCTTTGGATAGGATACTACAAAAGTATGAATGTTTTGCTACGTAAATATAGCATTTGAATTGAGTTAAGGATTTGTTTTTTTTTTATATAATTTTCACATGAATGTGATACTACTAAAAAAACTTAAGTGCCAAAACCTGAAATAAAAAATTGATTCAAGATCTCTCTATATTCGTAATTGAGATTAATTTTCCTTATTTTGTTATTATCTAATTTTTTCTTTTTATTCAACAGGTGATAGATACTTGAAACCGAGTTTAACCAGTTTCAATTTTTTGTTGTACTATATTGAATATTGGATTATCGTTTACTGATGCTTCTAGATTATACAATAATCAACATACAAACTTTACAAAGCCCATACATACAAAAGATATATTATTAGATGTTATAAAAAAAAAAAGATATATTATTAGAACAATAATCATCAACCAAATTTTAAGCTTATCAAAAAATCGAAAACATATCCAATCCAAACCGAATAAAATTGGATTGGATTAGATCGGATCTAAAAAAAATTCAAACCGAATGGATGATTACATTATCAAACCAAAGGAATTGGATCGGATAATTTTTACTTCCAAAACCAATCCAATCCAGACCGCGAACACCCTAATTTCAGATACTTTTTTTTTTTTGGAAACAAGATACCTTAGCTTTAATTCCTGTTTTTACGTCTCTTACAATTCCATTTTGTTTTCTTGGTGATGATTATTTATTAATTTAACAAGAATATCAAGCCATTTCCATCATACGATAAATTCCCTGATTAAGTTGAAATTAAGGAATACCTTAACAAGTTCGTCAATTCAATACATGTCCAACACAAACTAAAATTTACAAAATTTAGTTTACTAAAAATATATACAAGTCCTTTGGTTAATAAAATGGGCGCAAATTTTGTTATAAAAAAAAAAAAAATGGGCGCAAATTTTGGTATTATAATTCTTCCCCTGCTTCTTCCTTTTCTTTTGACCTCACATCCTCTGCAATATGAAATCTTGTGTGAAACTTCCTCCGCAATTACCCCTACCTTTTCAATTGATCCATTTGAGGATAGAGATTGTGATTCGTCATGAGTCAATGGGCCTATCTGCCATATTCTGATGGTTCCATCCTCAGATCTTGAGGCATATGATTCTCCTCCTGGAGAGAAACAGACACAGTGTACAGGACCCTAATGGCCCTTTTTTGCATGCTGCCATCCAAATAAATCATCCCAAGATTTACAAGCCAACAAAACCAAAATAAACTATAAACCAATATAGATCCAAACTGATTCAAACCGCGGCGATCGAACCGAAAAAACGATAATCGAATAACCGAAAACTGAAGAAAAAAAACCCGCTAATTTTAATTGGATTGGATCAGTTTTTGGTTTGATTGGTGAAAACCATTCCAATATATTAATTTCTCTCAGCCTACTAGGGCCTATTCCCCAATCATAACCCATAAAATTCTAAACCCAATACCCATTAACGCATCAGCTTAACCCAAACGGTATTAACTCCCCTCTACCTTAATGCCTAATTGTTGTCCTTTTAAATGATGTATAGTTGTGTCATTTAAAGAGAGAGAAAGACGCAATCTACTATTTTTTATTTAAAATTTAAATTTAAAAAAATCACTCACTTTCTCTCCCGTGTTTTCCATTACTTGTGTCTTTCTCTCACTTGAAATGACATAAATTCATGTCCTTTAAATGGACAAACACTAAACCCTTCTCATAAACAAATGGTTTTTCTATTATTTTTCCAATTCTACATTTCTGCTGCTATATTAGTTTCTCCATGTCATTAATGCATTTTTGTTTAACTTTTTAAGTTTTAAGAAAGAAAGAAATATAACTTCATTTTACACCAAATGTTCTTTTATTGGTACATTATAGCAAGTTTCCGTTATTATCTGTTATTGTGATTTCAACATTTGGATAAGATACTACAAAAGTATGAATTTTTTGCTACATAAATATAGAATTTGAATTGAGTTAAGGATTTGTTTTTACTTAGTTTTATAATTTTCACGTGAAAGTGATACTTCTATAAAACTTATGTGCCAAAATCTGAAATAAAAATTGATTTAAGATCTCTCTATATTCGTAATTGAGATTAATTTTCCTTATTCTGTTATTTTCTAATTTTGTTACCCAGTTTCAACGTTTTGTTGTACTATATTGAAAATTAGATTATCGTTTACTGATACTTCTAGATTGCACAATAATCATCGTACAAACTTTACAAAGCCAATACATACAAAAGATATGTTATTTGCACAATAATCATCATACAAATTTTGAGCTTATCAAAAAATGAAAACATATCCAATCCAAACCGAATTAAATTGGATTGGATTAATCTGATCTGAAAAAAATTCAAACTGAATGGATGATTACATGTTCAAACCAAAACAATTGGATCGAATAATTTTTACTTCCAAAATCAATCTAATCCAGATCGCGAACAACCCAAATTTGAGATACCTTTTTTTTTTGGAAACACGATACCATAGCTTTCATTCCTGTTTTTACGTCTCTTAAAATTCCATTTCGTTTTCTTGGTGATGATTATTTATTAATTTAACAAGAATATCAAACTATTTCAATCATGCGATAAATTCCCTGATTAAGTTGAAATTAAGCCATACCTTAACAATATCGCCAGTTTAGTACATGTCCACACAAACTAAAATTTACAAAATTTAGTTTACTAACAATGTTTACAAGGCCTTTGGTTAATAAAATGGGCGCAAATTTTAGTATCATAATTCCTCCCCTGCCTCTTCCTTTTCTTTCGACCACACATCCTCTGCAATATGAAAACCCTTAATCTTGAGTGAAACTTCCTCCGCAGTTACCCCTACATTTTCAATTGATCCATTTGAGGATAGAGCTTCTGATTCGTCATGAGTCAATGGGTCTGTCTGCCATATTCTGATGGTTCTATTCTTAGATCCTGAGGCATATGATTCTCCTGCAAGAGAGAAACGGACACAGTGTACAGGACCATGATCGCCCTTGTTGCATGCTGCCATCCAAATAGATCATCACAAGATTTACAACCCAACAAAATCAAAATAAACTAAAAACAAATATTGATCAACCGATCCAAATTGATTCAAACCGCGGTGACCGAACGAAAAATCAATAACTAAAAACCGAAAAAACCCGTAAATTTTAATTAGATTGGATTGGTTTTTAGTTTGGTTGGTGAAAATCGAACCAATATATTAATTTTCCTCTACCTACTTGGGCCTATTTCCTAATCATAACCCAAAAAATTATAAACCCAAGATCCATTAACCTATCAGCTAAACCCAAGTGGTATTAATTCCCCTCTACTTTAATGCCTAATTGTTGCTGACAATGCTTTTATGTTTTCATAAGGGAAAAATACTTGTCCTTTTAAAAGATGTATAGTGTCATTTTAAGAGTGAAAGACACAATCTAGAATTTTTATTTAAAATTTAAATTTAAATAAATCACACTTTCTCTCGCATGATTTCCATTACTTGTCTTTATCTCACTTAAAATGACATAATTTCATGTCCTTTAAAAGGACAAACACTAAACCTTTTTCATAATCAAATGGTTTAACTGTTATTTTTCCAATTCTACATTTCTCCTGCTATATTAGGTTCTCGATGTCGTTAATGCATTTTTGTTAAACTTTTTAAATTTTAAGAAAGAAAGAAATATAACTTTATTTTACACCAAATGTTCTTTTATTGGTACATTATAGAAAGTTTCCATTATTATCTGTTATTGTGATTTCAACCTTTGGATAAGATACTACAAAAGTATGAATGTTTTGCTACATAAATATAGCATTTGAATTGAGTTAAGGTTTTGTTTTTATTTAGTATTATAATTTTTACGTGAAGGTACTACTATAAAACCTATGTGCCAAAATCTGAAATAAAAAATTGATTTAAGATCTCTCTATATTCGTAATTGAGATTAATTTTCCTTATTTTGTTATTGTTTCTAATTTTCCTTTCTATTCAACAGGTGATAAATACTTGAAATCGTGTTTAACCAGTTTCAACTTTTTTGTTGTACTATGTTAAAAATTTAAAAATTTGATTATCGTTTACTGATGCTTCTAAATTGCACAATAATCATCATACAAACTCTACAAACTCAATACATACAAAAGATATGTTATTTGAACAATAATCATCATTCAAATTTTAAGCTTATCAAAAAATCAAAAATCTATCAAATGGAAACCGAATAAAACTAGATTGGATTAGATCGAATCTAAAAAATATTCAAACCGAATGGAAGATTATATGGTCAAACCAAAGAAATTGGTTAGGATAATTTTTACTTCCAAAATCAATCCATACCAAACCGCAAACACCATTAATTTGAGATACCTTATCGTTTTTGGAAGCAAGATACCTTAGCTTCAATTCCTATTTTTAGGTCTCTTACAATTCCCATTTCGTTTTCTTGGAGATGATTATTTATTAATTTAACAAGAATATCAAGGCATTTCCATCATGCGATAAATTCCCTGATTAAGTTAAAATTAAGGCACACCTTAACAATTAAGTTACAATTAAGGCACACCTTAACATGCTCGTCAGTTCAGTACATGTCCAACACAAACTAAAATTTACAAGATTTAGTTTACTAACAATGTATACAAGGCCTTTGGTTAATAAAATGGGCGCAAATTTTAGTATCATAATTCCTCCCCTGCCTCTTCCTTTTCTTTCGACCACGCATCCTCTGCGATATGAAAACCCTCAATCTTGCGTGAAACTTCCTCCACAGTTACCCCTACCTTTTCAATTGATCCATTTGAGGATAGAGCTTCCAATTCGTCATGAGTCAATGTCTGCCATATTCTGATGGTTCCATCCTCAGATCCTGAGGCATATGATTCTCCTCCTGGAGAGAAACGGACACAGTGTACAGGACCATGGTGGCCCTTGTTGCATGCTGCCATCCAAATAAATCATCACAAGATTTACAATCCAACAAAATCAAAATAAACTGAAAACCAATATAGTTATAAAAACAAAAATATGCTAAGAAACTGCAAAATAAATCTATCCCTAAATAGCTTCAGGCTGCCTCACATATGCAAGTATTTTCTTTTAGATGTAACTAATGTTCAATAACTTACCAATCTCATCCCCAGTATGGAAATCAAAAACATGAACCCACATGTCTTCTCCCCCAGCAATGAACTTGTTCCCATACTTGGGCTCCAGCGAAGCTGATTCCACAGTGCAGGGCATATCATAGCTCTTTACCAATCCATAGCTGAAAAACATGGGTAACGCTATGAACCATATAAGCAGAATCTTCAAAAACAAATCGCCCTACTAGGCTTATTACTTACTAATTTGCATCCCAAAACTTTACTGTAGAACCATCAGCAGTTGTGATATAACGACCATCCTGACTCACTTCAGCACTAGTCATAGATGACTTGGTGTCAAGTGTCTGGACTATTTTACCACTTCTTACATCCCATAACCTGTGAATTATCAACTAGGTTCAGTACAATATACATCCAAGCTTGATAATTAATTCCAAAGTTTATAAATCAAAACAAGAGAGCTTCTACACAAAAATTACAACCCCAGACAATTTCCAGCATCAAATAGCTAAATGAGGCATACCTGACACCTCCCATATCAGTACAAGAACTCAATATTGTCTGGTCACTATGAAGCCATGCAACAGTCCTAACTGAACCGGGGGATTTATCCACTTCTCTGGGTGGTGCATCTGGCCGATTCAAATCATAAATTCGGAGAATTTTCTCTGCTCCCCCAGTGAGCAAAAGGTGTGTATCCTGCACCCAGGTATACAAATAACAATGCACATGAACAAAGGGGAATTCGCAGGCAAGCCCCAGATAAAGAACCAAGTGTAAATGAAGTATCCAAAATTCAACATAATCTATAAAATATTTTATTAATTATCTTAGTGAGGTGTTTTGATTAGCTTCTTTTTGTATTTACAACAGCTTATTATTAAAAGCTTGCAGAAAGAATTTCGAGAAACAAAAAACAAGCAATATTTTCCCCCAAAAAATAAACAAAACCGAACATGGAAAGAAGATAAAAAGTAAAGGGGAAGAAATATAAAAGTGTAAAGAGAACTTCCACGAAGAGGTCACCAGACATATAAAAGTCCTTTCTCAATAAATCTACACAAAAATATTACAAAACTAAAAAGTCACAACAATGTTTTCACCCAAAAAAAAAAAAAAAAGAGCCACAATGTAACAACTATAGTATAATAGCATCTCTTTGAAATTCAGAAACATTAAACAGGAAAATCCATGTTCCAACTTTCTGGGATGAAACCATTTCAAGTATTTGTAGCATGACAACACTATTATCACTTAGTAGATTATATGCATGTGTCTACTACTTAGATAGTTCTAGTATTCTAATTCATGAATTTCACTTGTCTTTGAATGTCCACCATTTTGTGTTTTTGTAACTAGAAACATTTTTCCATCAATAGATATGAATATCAACAACAATCACAGATGTGAATGAAAAAAGCAACATCAAACAGTGCCAATTCTACCTCAGAAAAAGCACATGCTCGAACAATGTGCTTATGTTCAAAAGAGTGTAATTCATCGCCTGTTAACGCATCCCAAAATTTCCTGCACATGAAACCAAAGAATATGATGTGTCAACTTTTGATCAAAGAACTGCAAGTACTTCAATATATATATTGCTTAGTCTAAAATGTTCATCCTCCATGTAATATTAAGAAAACAGCAATGTCTAAACGAAAACATATAAGATACTGACTCTCTTATACTGTTAAAAGACTAAAACCAAAGTAGTAAATGGCGGAATGTTATGTCACACGGACAGCCCAAAACTATAATGGCATAGCGGATTGCAAAGCAGGCACTACAGAAAAAAATAGTGGCCGTAACAAAAACACATAAAAAATTAAAAACACTTAATAATCTTAACAATTTGGTTGAATCAATAAAGTATGACAATGATTTGATTTGATAGTAATCAATTACCATGTTTGGCATCCATTTTTAAAAATAGGATTTGAATTGATTTATAAATAAAGAATTTCCAAGTTCAAATCACCTTGGTAAAGAGGAAATTTTTTTATGCCAGGGAATTGCGATTACCAGGAATATGCTGGGAAATTGAATTTCTCAGGATTGTGACCAAAAAGCTAATTGATAGGCCAAAATATTACCAGGAATGTTGGCTCAAATTTCTTGATTCTATGTTTGGTTGATTGTCAAATATTATTGAAAATATAGGGTGATTTTAAAAACTGCACTAGTGGTGCCATCACCATGCTATTGGCGCCATCGCTGCGTTATTGGCGCGGGAAGTAAATATTGCTTGAAAACTTGGAGCTAGTGGCGCGGGAAGAAAATATTGCTTGGCGCTAGTGGCGCGGAGGTCAAAATATTTTCCTATCTCTCGGGAATCCAAGAATACAACCCCCATAGTGATATTCTTGGATGACATTTTGCCTTGAAAGTGTTCACAAATCAGAACCCTGGGAAAATCAAATTCTCGGGAAAATCAAATTCTCGGGAAAATTTTCACCATCCTTGTATCAAACGTGGGTAAATAAGATTCCCAATATCACTTTCCTAGGAATTTAAAAAAATCCTTGTACCAAACGCCCCCCTAAAAGAATTCATTTTGTTTTAAGAATTTTAATTTGTTACCCTTACAGACAAGGTTGTCGAAATCATGATCTAACTTGTGGATTAACACCCTTTACATGTGTATAACAACCCTCATTATCAAGTTAAATTAAACAAGGAAATTAAGCAAGATTCAAGGATTCAAGAAAATATTCAAGGAATCCATGACAAGCAAGGTCAAGTGGGGACAAGTTAATCATGGAATTAACATGATTACATGAACAAGGATACAATTCATGTCAATCAAGTCAATTAGGACCTAAATGTAATTATTTAGCAAGATTATGGGTCAAAATTTAATTATAGGATAATTTATGGATTATTTTGCAATTAAGCAAAACTTGGCCTAAACTTGAATTAAGTGTAATAATTAAATCATTTAGCAAATTTGGTAGATCAAATGTGATCTTAGTTTATTCTAATTATAATTAGATTAATCTATAAAAATGAGTCAAGGTACGTATAATTGAGAACCAATGAGAATTAAGATAACTTGTAAAAGTCAAAGAATAAAAGTTTACTAACTTAGTTAATTTCCTAACATTACAAGGTCAATTCCTCTTCATTCTTAGTCTATGTATGCAGCCGAAATTCTATGGGTATTAAAGGGAATCAACAAGAAACTTAATAACTAAGAAAGTAAAAATAAACTTGATGGCAACAAAGTCAAATTAGGTGGCTTAACACCTAAGCAAGCTTGGCTTGCTCACCAAGTTGGTTTTTGTGGCTTCTTAAGGACTCATTTTCACAGCTCTTCCTTCTCCTTTTCTTCATGCATAGCCAAGAGTCACTAGGAGAAAGAACAAGAGAGATTCATACAATTTTAGTTACTTTTTGTATAAAACCTATTTCACAAAACTTGTAGTATATGATCCTAGGTTGTCAGTAGCGGCCCGTAGCGGGTAGCGGCGGTCGGCCGCTACAAACCGCGACGCTACGCGACATTGGCCGTAGTGGAAGGTAGCAGCGTAGCGTAGCAGCAATACCTCTACCCGCTACACCACTCCCATGTTGGAATTTGATGGAGAATCCGAAGATGATGATGATTTTCTTTATTAGTTCACTTCTTGTACTTGGCTATTTGACAATTTTATTGTTCAGTTGTGTTTAATTTTGGATCCTTCCTTTATGTTCTTTGTATTTGACATTGATTGTGGAATTATGTGTTTGATTTTGTGTGACTTCTTATGTTTGAGCAATACTACTAAAAGCGGTATTGCCTTGTTTCTTGACTGTTAGTATAATATATGTGGAATTAATACTTTACCGTAGTGGTAATACCGCTACCCGCTACACCGCTATACCATTTTCGGGGTCGGCCACTACTGGCCGCTAACTGCTATTGACAACTATGATATGATCTTGTGATCATAACCCCAATCTTAGATCATGATTTGAGGCTGAAATGAGCGAGTTATTCTCTCTTTAAGCTTCGACCTTCATGCTGCCTACAAGCCAAGGATGGTGATTTTTAAGGTTCAAAGGTTCAAAAATTACTTCTAGGTCATTGAAAGCTTATTAAAGGTAAAAAACCCTAATTTTAATGGTTTGATTTCAAGTTGTGATTTAGGGTTTTTGGGATGTATATGTTTGAGTATGATGTTGTCATATCATGTTTTTGTGATGAGTCTGTGTGGATTAAGGTCCTTTGATGTTAAATGAGTTAACCTAACCATGTAGAAGCTAAACAAATCAGGAAAAATAATATGAAACTCTAACCTACCATTCGGCCATCATGCATATTACAGGTTTGGAGTTTTAATCTATGATGTTTAAGGTTGTTTGATACTTCATAGAGTATGTTAAGGTTGATTGAATCAAGTAGTTGTGATTAGAAAATAAGTTATGAATCAAGTAGATGTTTACACCCGATTCGGCCATGTATATGTTTTGGTGGTTATGAACTTAGTTTTATGTCAAGTAATAGGATTATTTAACCTTATATTTAAGGTGTTCAAGGCATTTGGTAAATGCAAATGAGCAAGAAAACTTGATAAGTGAACATGTATAGGCTTCAGCCATCACGATGTAAAATGACTTAGAATGTAGTATAATTTCAAGTGTTTGATACCAAGTATCAAGTGAACTCAAGTATGTTTCAAGTAGATTTTAAATTTAAAAACCTAGTTTGACCTAGTATCCGAGTGTAGGTCTTATTTTATAAGAAATTGTAAAAACAAGATATAAATATTTAAGACTTGTTTTAATGGCATGAATTGAAAGGATATAAGTGTAGGATAAATCATGTGAACTATCAAGTTAGTTTCAAAATTGCATGTAAAGGCTAGTAGTATTTCAAGTTGCTTTTCAAGAAAAGTTTTTGTTAGGTAACAAGTATGTGGTGGTTTATGGTATTTTATTCCTGACTCTAGTGTGCAATCAGGGATCAGGGATTTGACATTGGAAGATCAAGTTGCAAGTAAAGGCTAGTAGTATTTCAAGTTGCTTTTCAAGAAAAGCTTTTGTCAAGTAATCTTTCGGTTTATGAGCTTTCTTCTCTATGTTGTTCAACCATGGCCCATTGGATTATGGTTTTTATATATATAATTTGTGATGAATGTTAGAACTTAATATAGTTACATTTATGTAGGCCAAGTACATGTGTGATTTAAGAACTCAGGTATACAAGTACATGATGTGATGTGCTTAAATCAAGTAGACAAGTGTACAAGATGTTGTGATGTGAATTGTTTGTTTCAAGGTTTCATGGCCATAGAACAATTACAAGTTGGTTCTTTACATTAGGAACACAAGCCTCAGAAGTATCCAATTTACAAGTTTGTTTGACAAGTTACAAATTTGTCCAATTTACAAGTTTGTTTGACAAGTTACAAATTTGTGTGATGAATTATAAGATTTCAAGTTATTTGATGAATTACAAGATTTCATGTTGTTTGATGGTTGCAAGATTACATGATGTTAGCTATACTTAGTATCTGACTTTTTTACAGGAAGTGAACTCATTGGTGGAGACTTTTCCATAAACCTAGAATTTACTGAGATGGTTAATCTCACCCCATTTGGGGATATATTTCAGGTACTCCAGTAGCAAGGGAATCCTCTCAGGGAAAGAGGCCTGTGCAGGGTGGTTAGAGGATTCAGCTAGAGCATGCATTTAGTTTGGTATTTTGAGGATGACAATATATCCTGTTTTGTGAGCATGAGATGTTATGATCATGTATATTTACTGATATTATCTATTTGAGAGGCATGTGTTTGCCTATGTGTAATTGTATATTATAGAGACATGATCTATGTATTTCTGTATTGTGCATGTTAGATGTAATATGTATGGCACGGAGTCAAATTCAGTTCATGTATATTGGATGTGATTATCTGGATATCAGGTATCAGGTTTGATTGTGAGATTTTATCCCTAATTGTCCAGATTAGGGGCGTTATGATGTCCATTAAACTCTATTCAGAACGGTACGTGATATCATATTCGAAATGGTACGTGATATCATTAGTTACAATCACAAGTTATCAAGTTTTGATTCTGTACAGTTATAGAACTGTATAGTCTATATCATAAAAGAAATAAGTTTGCATGGGAAGTCTTACCTAAAGGGAAAAGTTAAGTCTCGTAGTTTCAAAGAACTACTGTGATACTTTACTTGAGTCTTCCGCTACTTTAATCTAGTATGATGCGCTTTTATTACCATTTTTTAAGTTAACAAATCGATTTTTAAATTGGGGCGTTACAGGGTGCTGGAACGATCCTAATCATGGTTGAGAATTCCTTTGGTTGGGATCATTGTGGTATTGCAATCTTGAGATAAAATAAGTAGAACATGGATCTTTAATGAAAACCTTGGTACGACATTTCCTTGCCCTAACTAACATCACCTTTTCATGCATCATTGTCCTCCCACCATGGGTAAAATGAGTGAAACCATGGTGCCTCTAACACCTTACTACGAGTAGATGCTACAACTTATTCCCTTTATTATGTAAGTGCGGCAACC